AAAACTGAAAAGACCAATTAAATCGACAATATTCACAAAACATCCGTAAATTTAGTGACGTCATCAAAATAAACCCCATGTTTTTTTTTTTTTTTCAAAAAAGAATGAGACGCCATGACATCTCTCAGCAGGAATTTCATGACCCCGAGAATGACCTCTATCCACAGCTAGCACAAAGAGCCGAATCTCCTATACCAAGAAGAGAAATATAGAAGGAATATAGCCTCCCACACTCTCTCTCTCTCTCTCTCTCTCTCTCTCTCTCTCTCTCTCTCTCTCTCTCTCTCTCTCTCTCTCTCTCTCTCTCTCTCTCTCCACTCACCATCATTCGTTGCCAGATCGACCTGAGCTCCGCGGCGATCAGGTCCTGCACCACGAGGGCTGAAACCGCGGAAGGTGGCGAGGATGAGGGCTGTTTCTCCTGTTGGGGGAGGAAGGGGCCGTTTAGGAGGGGTGGAGGGCGGGGGTGGTTGGGGGGGAAGGTTAGAAGCAAAGACTATATAGGAAAGATAGGAAAGTATGGAGAAAGCCTGTGAGCCCCAGCGTTTGGCGGATGTTTGATATCTGAACAATAGATGGCGTTGTGGTACGCGTGTGTCGTCTGTTTGTTTACTATCATGAAACGTCACTTACTCGAAACGGTCGGAAAGGAACTGTTTGTTTTTTTTGGGTTTGTTTGTTTTTGGTGTGTTTGTTTTTGCGTGTTTTATGCTTCCTGTTTTAGCTGTAGGCCTGCTTTCCTTGATACTTTCATTGATGATGACTTGGAATCAAATAAAGAACTGTTTTACATGAATGTGTTTTGTTTATCCTTGGTTTAATGACAACAAAAAATAATGAAAAAGATGAAGAATTTATTAATGTCGAATGATTGCGGATTTTATTTAATAGATTTGTTTATTTAATAAATTGTAGAGTTTATTGAATCTAAGTTTATATTCACTGTATTAACACCAAAGATATTGTCTGCAGTAAAATTGTATAGTATTTAAACAATAATTTTATTGATGTCATGTAAATGTGCATACACCTGAGATAATTATTAATGTTTTATTGTCATTTTCTGAAAAAGTGCAAAACCTTATTTTAATGTACGAAAAGAAATCTCTAATAAGAAGAAAAAGTTATTAATGAACAGAATAATTATATAATTCCATGTAAATTTATATATATAAGTAGTTCTTTGATAGTTATATTTAGAAAGGAGAGAGAGAGAGATAGATAGAGAGATAGAGAGAGAGAGAGAGAAGAGAGAGAGAGAGAGAGAGAGAGAGAGAGAGAGAGAGAGAGAGAGAGAGATAGTATGTCATGGAGAGAAATAACACGCACATGTAAACAAACACACATACGCAAACACACACATAGCTACACATACACACGCACACAAACACATGTATATATATTAATATTTCTTTTACGAAAATTAAATCTTCCCATAATACACGATTTCCATATTTCCATTAAGCATATTCATCAAAATCACAACTTTTTTGAATACTTATGGCATGGACCGACCACATTAACTACTATGCACTTCCAGCAATCTATTTCATCGACTCAAAAATTATCTATTTCCACAATTACCTTCATTATTCTGAAAGTTGACCATTGCCTTTGCTCCGAGTAGAATTCTCACAGTCTGCACGTGGTTCAGAGCCGCTGCCATCATTAGGGGCGTGTTTCCTAGGGATTAAGGGGCAATTTTGGCATTATAGCATTAGCATTATCATTATTACTATTATTTGATTGGGGTTTTTAAAGTTATGTTCATTGTGTTTGTTTCAGTGTAATATATGAAGTGTGGTTTGATGTTTTGATTAATATTTTATTGTAGTATTATTATGCTTATTTTTATTCATTTGAGAATATTTTTAAAGATTGGTATTATCATACCTCACCAATTTAATCTCACACACACACACGCACGTACACACACACACACACACACACACACACACACACAACACACACAACACACACACACACACACACACACACACACACACACACACACACACACACACACACACACACACACACACACACACACACACACACCACACACACTCACACACACACACACACAAACATCCCCCAACACACTTACACCCCCTCCCCCCTCCCCATCCCCCCCCCTCCAACCCATCCACCTCCCACCCCCATTCCCCTTCCCCCCCTCCCCCCTACTCCCTTCTCCCCACATCCACGCCCGACTCACCGGCCTTGTTGGGATGTCCAGCACGGCGCCCGCCCTGATCAGGTCCTGGGCGGCGATGGAGTTGTCGAGGGCGGCGGCCACGGAGAGGGCGGTGTCTCCTGGAGGGGGCGGTGGGTGAGGAAATTCGGTTGATAAATAGGTAAATAAATAAAGGAATAAATAAATAAATATAATATATATATGTATATATATATATTATATATATATATATATATAATATATATATATATATATATATATATATATATATATATATATATATACAACACACACACACACACA